TTGAGTTTATTTTGAGCTAAAATAAAAGATTTATTAATAAAGTAAAAATTTTTATATAAAATGAAAAATATTTATTTTACAAATTATAATTAATAAATATTCAAGAATTATACTGTTTAATTATATATAAATTATTACATTTATAATAATAATATTTTTATTTAGCTATAAATAGTTAATATAAATTATTTTCAATATGTATATATTAATTTAAAATTAATATTAAATTCTATATAATTAAGTTTAATTAATAAAATAAAAATAATAATTAAAATTAAAATTTATATGATAATTTATAAATTTAATTACAAATTTAAAAAATTAAATATTAAATAATTTCAGAAAGTTTACCGGAAAACACTTATAGCTTAAGTGATACTATACAGAATTATCCAATAATCACTTTACTGAAAAATTAAATTAGTATTATTATTGTGTCAAGCTTCAAACTGCTCATTTTTAATTTGTTTTTCTATTAATATATGTTGTATGCGATAGAATAATAAATACTAAAATTCTCATGATAATTAAAACATGCATCATGACCTTTTATATATCTAGAGCAAAAAACTTTGTAAATTTTCTCACTTCTTTTCGTCTAGAAGAACTGTTATAAATTCTTCAAAGATAGAGAAACTACTTCAATTCCACTATACATATATAAAGAAATGGCTAATCAAACTTTTATGAGGAATAAAGTAAAAAAAAAAACTATTTAACCTCGTTCAGTAATATTGAATTCTCCATTTGGTTTGGAAGAAGCGTTTATTGACATACAATTTTAATTTTTGTCAATATTATCGACGTCAGCTTTTAATCTTTTGGATGAAATATATAAAGGTTTTGTCAATAAAAATTTGGAGAAAACTTATTAGCAATATTCAATTTTTCGTGCCTGTTGAAGAGCAAAGGGAATCACAAAAGCATACACTTGAAATTAACAATATGCTATGTTATGATGGTTTTGCAGCTGGATAATTTAACGAATACATATTATAAATTATCATTTTTTGTTTCTATTGTATCTTTATTATAATAAATAAATCGTACGATTTAGTCTTAATTTTTTGCTTCTATCGCTATTGAATCAATCATACGATTTTAGTCAAATATATGTAAATAGTACGATCTTGATTTTTCAAATATTCTGTCCTTATCGTTAATAAATCTTTTTCATGTCATCCACATTTTCTCATTTTCTCAGTTATCATCTTTGAAATCTTCAAGAAGCTCTTAATATACTTTGAGAAGATTTTTAAAGAAGTGATTGCTTTTATGAGTCTTCTATCGGCAGCTTCTATAATATAGAAACAGATGAAACTATGTAATTTAGTTTCAAAGTTTCACCTCAACCAGTATTACAAGTTCATAGTGTTAATGGCCGGTCAACATCGCCGTTTGATGTTACCTTCTACATCTAATGAACCAGACTATCTGGTGAGCCACCTATTTTGTATATTTGCATGAACAATTTGATCGTTAACAAGTGATTCAACAGTCATTCAATTATGAAGAGGTGAAGTGCAAGAAAATTCAAGTGCTTGGAATAATAATTTAAAATTCGCAAAATATATACAGTCGACTCCCTCTACGTGCATTTCAACGGGACCATAAGTAAAAAAGACAAAACTTGCATAGAAGAGAATGGAATACTTATAAATCTATATACGTACTTGGGACCAAAAAGATTTTTTAAAAATCTGTACTTAGGGAGAATAAACATAGTACCTTACTTTGAGAACGTGCACTTAGAGGGCACTGTATTTCGCTTATTTTTTCTACTCAAATGTTATAATTATATTGCATTTCACGACATTATAATTATATTACGATAAAATAGTATCATTAATAAAAAAGAGCCGTTGACGACTTTCTAAAAATATTTTAGAGCAAACGAGTTGTGATTCCTAAGGTAAAAAGAGAAAATTTATATACGAGTTTATGTTTACGATTTAGATTTTGACTGTATTTGGTAATAGAGTGTAATAGCTTCTTAGGGGGTATTTGGTAAATAAAAGCTGTCAGAGAAATTTAAAACTGTGTAAAATGTTATGGTGGTTTACGTTAAGTAAGCAGGTTCAAAAGCATTATTTTTCTTATTAAGCGCGCTATTCAAAAGTTGGTGAAAGGAGAAATAAAGAATCGTATAACGATAACTTACTCAATACGTATTGTGATCAATAAAAAATTGAATGAAGACTAAATGTTATTGAGCGATTATTAGTAAAAGCCTGTTATGTAACATGATTATTTTAGTTTTTTCTTTGACCCTACCCTCTATGATGATTTAATTTATTCTCCATTTAAGTGCATGAATCACCGTCATATTCTATTTATACGTATATGTACGACTAAACTTGCGATTTTATTTTTGGAATCTTTAGTTTCATTACTACTATAAATAGGGAACTAGGATGATTTTTAACTTTATTCATATAACTATACAACAGAGGACGCTTACACAATTGGTGCAGGCGTTTCTCACACGACTATTAGAGTGGATTAATTTCTGTATTGTTTGAAGGGTTTCTTATCAAATGTGTGTATAGTTCGAAACATGACATGATAAATAAGGTATGAATTTATTTATTTATCATCATACGTATTGTGATCATGTTAAGCCACGTCAGACGACAATCGGACAAGTAAATGACAAATCAACGATACAGGTCAATGAACCAGTTTTTTTTTGCTTTAATCAGTCGTGGCTGCTGCTCTTATTTGCCTTTGATGCATTCGGCCATTTGAATTAATTAACGAATAAGAGATTCCGTGCATAGCAAGCATCTTCTCAAGCTTTATGCGTGTTTTAATTTTAATGTTTTATTTGTTTCTTATGACAGCGCGTGTTGTTCGAAGATGTTTCAAACATCTTAATTTAATTTATTGTTATATGCTGCCGTAGTTGGTAACTCCACAAATGAAACAGATAGATGAATAGATAATTTCAGCCCATCCAAATCGAGGAACACACGTTATAACCCATCGACCAACTACGTTAATTTACGTAACTACCACCAACCCATCCCTTTCTGGGAATCTACAATAAATCTTTTTGATAGGGATAACGGAATAAAAAAAGGTCATAACTTCCTATTTGGCTTGATATCCTATCTTCTATTTCTCCTATTCATTAACGCAATGTTATTCATTCCATATCTCTCAACCACCACACACACGCGCGCGCGCACCACCCAATACAGAACAGCACCGCACAAAACAAAATAAAAAGAAAGGAAAACGGGTTTATTCTCATACAGGCTTGCAGATATTTTTTTTTTGATTCATAAAAAACAATTGAAATTTCTTTTTTTAGGATTAAATATTTATGATTATGGTAGTATTAATTTCTTTTAAAATAATGTTGGCCCGAATGTTTTGAAAGCAATCACCCACACAAAGAATGAATCAGATCCTCCTTTTTTTTCACTAAACCGATTTTTATAAATAAAAATAAGAGCCGAATAAATGATAAATAAAAATCCACATAAAGTTACCCAATGACGCTAAAACTGATAAATAACAGGATATGCATGCATTCATCATTTTCTGCTGTTGTTGTGGTTGCATTTCTTCCCGAATTAATAAGTCAAATAGTACACATTTCATTATTATTCAAGCGTGTGTGTGTGTGTGTGTGTGTGTGTGTGTGTGTGTGTTTATTATTATATATTATCGTTATTATCACACACAGAGAAAATTAAAATGACACAAATACGAATGAATGGTAATAAAATGAATGAATCACTCAATCAAATTGAATGAAAATAAAATGAACCTGATATAAAGAAGTTACCCATCCATTTACCTCATTTGCATTTCAACACTTTACAAATCCTATTTATTATGTGCGTATTGTATTTTTCCCCGTTACCCAAAAACATAATTAGAAACGCTTTTCTTGTAAAAAAGATTTTTTTTTAAATATGCATATCAGTTATTTACGGATGCATGTTTATGATGACAATAAATTTACTGCAGATAATATGCGCATTACCCAAGCACGGCAGTTGGCGTATTATTAAAAATCCATACTTTGGTCTATTGACAAACCGATTGTTTCGCCACGTCCGAGAAATTGTCATACACTTTACGTACTTTTGTTTGTGTGTGTGTATCTTTGAAAAAGACTAATAAAAAAGTAAAGAGTTTAAATAGAAGCAAAACATTATGACAGAAAAATAGCATCATCATCATCACCACCCAACAACATAAATATGCTTAAGAAGGAAAAAGAACCTTCTTTTTAGAAATTTCCGGAAAAAGGAATAAGATGTCTTATTGATTATTATGAAAATTTCATTCAATTCATTCAGTCAAATACTTGGTACATCTACATTATACATATTCCCTTTAATAACCGGTAAATTTATTTTCTACGATGACGATGATGAGATGATGATAATATAAAGTTTGTTCCTTTATTTGGGCAATAGAAAAAAAAGACGAACGTTGTTATTTTACTTTTTCGACGAAGAAAAAAAAAGCTATACTCTAAAAATCATGTATATAAATTCTAACTATTTATCGCTTATTCACTATATTAATTCTGGATAAAGTAAATCATAATTGAGTATTAGATAATAATAATATCATTATAATTACCATTATTTATATATATACTGCTAAATGTATAACAATACAAAATTAAAATAATAATAACAAATAAAAAAAACAAATAAATAGTTGTACGCCCTCTCTTTTTCTTTAAATGCATCGTCATTTTTTACTTAACTCGCTATTCGAAAAAAAATCCGAACGAGAAAAATTACCTATTACTTAATAATTAATATTTACTATTCTAATTTTTTACTAACTATTATTAAGTAATTAAAAAGTTTTTTTTCTTTTTCCATTTATTCATTTTTAAATTTGATTACCTTCTAAAAAAAAAAATACATTACGAAACCACCCACATCTATATATTCATTATAAGAGACTAACATCACCGCCCACACCACCCTTCGAATAACAACAAGCAAACAACAATCCCCATCAGAATGGAAATTGAAACTTGTGATCCAAAAATACTCGACATTGAACTTCCCTACCCGCCAACCATAACTCCCAGGGACTGTCTCACTCAAAAGAAAAATGGTGAGATCCCCACAAAGGCGCCTAACAGTTTTCTCATATATCGTCGATTATTTCACGAAGAGATTCGGGGTCGAGGTTTTTGCCTTCAACAACGAGCGCTCTCTTCGATTATATCTCGGTCATGGGAAAAACAGCCACCACAAGTGAAGAATGCCTATAAAGAATTGGCGAGACAAGCAAATCTTGAGCTCATCGAAATTCGTAGATTATGTCTGGCTGATACCTCTTTATTGACGAGATCATATCCACAGAAACCATATCGAAAAGGGGTGTCATTCGTTTCGCCGATAGTTGGAAAATATCATAACTCGAGTAATCATATCAGTAATAAGCATTCAAATCAGACGAACTTTCGAATTCAAAAATTTGGCCAATCATCAACAGCCGCCGACCTAAACAATCAAAAATTCTCTTCAACATCGTATCATAATCAGTTAATATTGCCACACCCGGATTCCAAGTACCATAATCAACATCTATTTCATCATTCAAATAATTCCTCGACCACCGATTCAATGGATTCTGACAATGATAGTAATCACAGTGATGAATATCAAAAACCTTCGAGGTCAAGTTTCCTGGATATTGTCTTGAATGACACTTCAGAAGAACCAAGAATAAAAAAATCTTCAACAAGTCACATGCAATTTCCAGAGACGACGACATTTGAAAATAATTATTCATCACCACATAACCATCACAATAATAACAATTTCCATCTCGAATCAAATAATCTGGGATTTCCGACCCCTTTCAACAATAACCAAAACCAGCATCATAATAACTATAATAATAACAATAATAATCATAATCATAATCATAATCATAATCATCATCATCATCATCATCATCTTCACAATCATCTTCATCATGAAAGCAGTCCATTTGAACAAAAGGTAACAAAATTTGAATTTGTTGCAGAAATGCGAAATGAAGTGTCTTCATCTACTGCCACCACCACACCTTCTCTTCCCAACCCACCTTCATCAGTACATAAAGAACACTTAAAATCCGAAGATATTTGTTCGGAATGTTTCTTGCCAAAAAGTCCGAGAAATGATTTCACTAAAAATGAATAAATGAAAAGTATTACAAATAATATTTAGTTAGTCTTTTTGCTACCTATAAAGAAAACTTTAATATGTTAACATGTAATCACAAACACGTGATTGACCTGAAAAGGAATAATTTCAGTAACGTTAGCCCCATTATTAATTATTAATAACGATACTAATTGATTCATCAAGTCTAATTAATAATTTGTGTGTCAGAAAAGGAAATTTATATATCCTTTATCCTCCGCATTTTCATCAATTCCTTATAAGGAAGATTGATCAATTCCCTTTCTTCTGTTATCGATAAGATTGTTATTGAATGAATATCAATAAAAGCAAGTTTCGGACACGATCATTATAGATTCCATTTATAGATAATGCATGATTTCAATGAGTGTATGAATGAATGAATGAATGAATGAGGTGCGTTCATATCTGAAAAAATGTGATATGGAACAAACCAAAAGAACACTAGTGATAGTGTGTGTGTCTGAACTTCATGTGTCTTTCTTCTCTGTCAATTTTCTTTTTTATTCATGTTACGTTGCACCCGATCACACAATGCAAATTGGAATGTTGTGGTGTTAAATTTCATACATTTACAAACCACCGGTACGGTGAGATCATAAAGTTTCTATTTTGATGTGATGCATGTACACACACCACACAAAGAAATAATTACCACTCGGAAAATAAAAATAACTACACATCTATCAAGTAAAATTATCAAATCAGAGAATATCGTATCATGTATACATATATGTGTGCTATATCGATCGATCCAATGAAGTACTCTGTGTACTACAAAAAATTCAAATTATTAAATTAAAAAAGAAAGTTCAAAATCATATCCTTTTGGTTAGCGTCAATCAGTCTGTTCCTTTTGTGTCTATTTTTTTAATAACAATAAGCTTCCCAAAACTATCACCATTTTTTACACCCATTTTTCTGCTTTTCATTATTTAATTGTTATTCCTATAGTTGCGCCTATTGTTTGTTATACGTATATATACATTCTCCCCGTTGTTGTACGAAGGATAACATTAGTAATATGTCTGAAGAAAATCAAGTACCATCCATAAATCCCTTATTTGCCGCGTTTACGGAAGATGAAAAAAGAGCGGTCGCGCAACTAAAGGAAAAATTAGATGTGATATTGGCCCTTGCTGTCGCGCCTGAAAATTATTCTCTATGGGGAATTCCATTGAATAAACAATCATCTGATGAACGACTGGAAGTGATTTTGATAAAGTTTTTAAGGGCGAGGTGAGCTTATCATTGACATTTAAATTTCGCTGCGAAACGTTAAGATACGAAATCAATACATCCATTAATTCCCTGTATGAACATAGAAATCTGAATCTCATTGATGCTCAAGATATGCTTGTTAAAACGATAAAATGGCGTCTCGAATTCGGGGCTGATGGTATACTTGAGGAGAAATTCGATGAGACGATATTCTCCGGGAGAATCGGGTTTATTCACGGTCATGACACTAAAAATCGCCCAGTCACTTATAATCTCTATGGTGGTCTCGATAATCAAAAAGTATTTGGTGATGTGGACAGATTCTTACGGTGGCGTATTCAATTAATGGAACGTGGAATCAAAAAATTGGATTTTGTAAACGTGGATCAAATGATACAAGTTCATGATTATGAAGGTGTCGGATTTGGATCACACGATAGAACAACCAAGAATGCAAGTAAACAAGTCACGCAAGTTATGCAAGATAATTATCCGGAATTTTTGGTATTATTAATTTTTGTTTTTTTCCCCTATTTTTTTTTTCGTTCTTATAATGCGTAACAGGATAATAAGTTTTTGATTAAATTTATTATCTAGGCTGTTAAATTTTTCGTAAATGTCCCTTGGTGGGGCGACCTTATATTTAAGTTTATTTCAGTTTTTCTTACTGAACAAACGAAAAAGAAATTTATTGTCACTACGGCGAGTAACGCCAAAGAAAAAATGACGAAATATATTGCCGAAGAAGAATTGCCCACAAAATATGGTGGAATAAGTGTTGCACCTGAATTGGAAACCGCAGACTTAATCAAAGCAGAAGTAGAAGCAAATGAAGTTGTAGAAGAATCCTAGCAATAATAATATATATACGAGATAAAGGATATAGTTTATGGTGGGATTCCAGCTGTTTGGATAATTTTCATTTTCTCGTGTTTCCTATTTTCGAGGAGTTTTTTACTTTTTTCTTAATAATAAATAATAACAAATACAAACATTTATTTATTTAATTATTATATACTATAGTTTAGCCTTCAATTAATCTTTATATTAAAAATAATTACACTGTTAATAGGCACCAAAAAAAAAAGAAGTGAAATAAGATTCCATCTTTACAGTGATTAAAATGCGCCTTGACTTTGTCTCGTCTTGCAGCTTCACCTATTTCCATACCAACTGCGCGGGTCTAAATTTAATTTTAAGAACATTCGTGATTTGATTTTTATAGCTTTCTTGTTCTAGGACTAAATTACCTGTGAGCAATTCTGAAAAATTTGTAGTACATGCGATAAAGAGGAAAGCGACAAACTCTTAAATAATAAATGTTACCATACCAATACACATTGACGAAAGTCCTCATGAAAGATTAAAGTTTTTTTATTCAATTCTCGCTTCTAAAGTGTTTGCCGCTGTTGCTGACAAAAAAGTTGCTGTTATTAATGCCAGTGTTACCGTAAAACGCTCTGTATAGTAGTAACCCTTCCCTGTAAAAATTTTAAAATAGAACTTTATGGTACTTTATGATCCACCAACAGCTTCAAAAAGCTGCAATGATCAATATACTTGTAATATCAATATATCCGTCTGCACAGAAAATAATGGCGGGAAATTTTTACCATATAATGGTCTCCTTTTAAAAAGACAGAATCGAGCATGAAGCATCAATTTGACTCGAGATTACGCAAAATTTTTCTAAGCCGCCCATTAGTAAAAAATGTTCAACTTAAAGAATTGTATTAGAAACAATATGTACTAGTTTATAAAGATTGTGAAATAAGATTACTAGTAATAGTTACGATTTTTTTAACACGTCAGATTTGTCATTCAACCTGCATTGACGCGGAAGGGAAAATGTATCATATGTTGAATTTTTAGAGTGTGATGCCCTACTTAGCCTAGCGATAAATTTTTTGTGTATTGCACCAAACTAACTGGATTTGGATCAGATGATTGGAGAAAAAATTTACACCATTATCGTTATCTTTATTTAGATAAGTTAGTTTCTATTGCTTTAGTTTCACTTTTTGTTTTGATTTCGCTTTGGCTTCGTCTTTGTCAAATCGATATTATTCTTTACACTTTATCTATACATGTACAGTCGCCACATAAAGTATTTTGCATGTGTAACAACATGCGTCGCGTTTTCCCATTTTTTGTTATTGTTGTCACTAATTTTTTTTATTATTTTCTTCTTTTACTTTTAAACATACACTGGATGAAATTTTTTTTAGGTGTAAATATGATACCTGTCATACCAGTAGGCCATCTTTGACAAGGATAAAAATAGTGATTTTTTATGAAGTTATGAGTGCCAAGCAAGTTGCAAGAAAAATGTGACGGAATCCAGTAAGAGTATAATGGGTCTTGCTAAGTACAAAAGAAACAGGAAAAACAAAATTTACCACTTTCTGAGAGACCATAAGCTCATAATGATCAAGAAAAACATGCACATATGCAAGAAACTAAAAAAGACATCCCGAGCTATTTCATAATATTGATAATAAAAAATCTGTGCAAAAAACTTACCTGAAGATTCTCTAAGATAATTTGATCCCTTTCATAATATAATTTGTTTATTGCAGCTTGCGTGGCACTGATTTACTCTATTTGAATTTATTTCATTTTTTTTCCTAATGTAGATCAAGTTTTATTTTTTTTTGAACATCATGTTTTTTCAAATCAAGAAAAATATATTGTAACTCAATGATAGTGTAATAGTCTCTTGCCAAGTATAGAAGAGACAGGAAAAACTAAAATTTTTCACTATCTGAGAGATCATAGACTTTTAAAAATCAAGAAAAAAAATGTATTTATACAAGAAGTAAAAAAAGATATCCTAAGTTATTTTATAATATTGGTAATAAAAAATTTATGCAAAAGCTTATCTGAAGATTCTCTAAGATAATTTGATTTCTTTTCATAATATAATTTATTTATTAATTTGAAAGAACATGATATTTCAAAAAATAAAACTTGATTTATATTAGAAAAAGAAGTTATAAATAGAATTAAATAGAGAAATTAATGAATATTATATTTTAATATTTCAAACTTCATAGAAATATCTTCAAGTTATTAGAAAATAATATTCTAAAGTGTATAAGCTTTTCAAAAATTACAAAAAAATTTGATATATTGGCTTTTTAGAAGATTATAATCTCAGAAATTAAAGTAATATTAGAATTATATGAAAAGTTGATAATATATTAACTAATAATAAAAAATATTTTTATATTTATAAGACAAAAATAAAATAAATTTGAAAGTTTATTTTTTAAAAAAATTGAATATATATAAATATTTTATTTTAATAATAAATTTTTTGAATTATTATATATTATTATAATAAATTTAATAAGTAAATTTTTATCCTAATAATATTAAGTTAGAAGAGACTAAATTAAATAATGAATAAAAAGTGAAGAAATTAGACTATAACTTTAATATTAACAAAGATTTCTAAGATTTATGCCAATATTTATGAATATTATCTTAATAAAGAGATAAATAAATAATTAAAAAATAATATAAATCAAAGAAATTATAAAAATTAATTAATAAAATTACTAGAAATCAATATAATTCAGAATTTAAGATGATTAAATAATAAAGTTATTATTAATTAAAGAAAATTATAACTAAAGAAAAATAAAACTAAAGCAAATAAAAACCAAATAACTAAAAAGAAATATAGCTTATTTATAATAGAAATCTTCTACTTTCAAAAATAATAAAATAAATAAAATCAAAAAGTATAACCTATTTATAGTAAAGATTTTCTACTCTTCAAAATATAAAATAATATCAAAAATTAATATAATATTATAATCAAATCAAAATTAACTTTATATAGTTAAAGAAATAAAATTAAATGAGAGAAAGAGTACTAGTATAATTAGAAAAGAGATCTTTTAAAAAGATTATTATTATTATAATAATAAGTTTTTTAATTATATTTTCTAAATAATTTAATTCAAAACTATTTATTTCAAGTTGGAATAGCAGATCTTGTTATATATTTTTTGAATATATAAATTATTAAAATATTACTAACTAATATTTTCTAAATATATATATATTATTACTTTAAAATATTTAAATTATTAAAAAGCTATAATCTATTTAAAATACTAGTATAATATTGATATTTAAAATATTAATATTTTATTAATATTCAAAATATCAATATTTCAAAATATTAGTATTTTATTAGTGTTTAAAATATTAATATTTTGCTAATATTTTATCATTTCACTAAAAATTAAAAAGATTTTTAAGTATATTATTTTATTAAGTATATAATATATATATATAATATATAAATTAAAAATATAAATTTTAAATTAAGAAAGTAAGATATAATATTTAAAATAAAAATATAATAAAATAAATAAAGATATAATTATACAAAAATAAGAATAATTATATGATAAATTATGAAATTATAGAAAAATAAAATTAGAAAAAGATTATAAAATTAGAGAATTTTATATTATTATAATAATAATATATCAAGTACTTATTATTAAGTTTATCTATATAAATTATTATTTTATAAGAAATGATAATTATATAAAAAATAGATAGAAAATAATATATATAATTAGAAAACTAAAAAAATATAAATGATAATTTTGTATTTATAATATTTTTTGAAAAGTATATATAAATATTATATTATAATATATATATAATTCTTAATATATTTAAGTTAAAATAATAATATGTAATTAATAATATTATATTTAAATTTATATAATAATTTATTAGTTAATTATTTAACATAAAAATTTTAATATTCTTTTTAATAATAATAATAATAATAAATTATTATTTATAGTTATATTACTTATTAATTATAAATTTTATTATAATTATATTCTTATTAAATATAATTTAAAACTTTCTAATTATTTATTTATAAAATATATAAAAATATTAGTATAAATTAAAAAAATTAAGTCAAAAAATTTTAATAAAATTTTAAGTAATAATAAAAATAAAAATATAATAAATTATTATTTTCTTATAATAAATTATAAAATTTTATAAATACTTTTTAATTATACTTTATAATTATTTGAAAAATTATTATAATTATTTGCAAAAAAAATAAATAAATATAGAATTTATAGTTAAAATTCTATATAAAAAATATATAATAAGAATTAAAAAAATTAAAATTAAAATTTAAAAATTTATTATAATTTAATAAAAAATTATTCAATAATTTAAAAATTTTTATATTTATAATTTAATATATATCTATAAAAAGTTTACTAAAAATTATTTATTAAAAATAATTAAAAATTTTTATATATATTTTATATATAAAAATATTTTACAAAAATATTTAATAAACTAATTTTAATTAAGAGTATAAGAGTAATATATAAAATAACTTAATTTAAAAAAAATTTTTTGTCAAAAATTTGAAAAAATAACTTAAAATTCTTTTAAATATAAATTTATATTTATAAAAGATAACTAAAATCTTTTATTAAATCATATTATTTTATTTTTAAATATTAAAAATATATATAAAATATTTTTTATTATTTAAATAATAATAATATTTTATAAAATTTTTATTTAAAAATAATATTTTTTTTGATTATATATATTATAATTTATTATATAAATTATATTTAATAATAAATTTTTCTTATTTAATAAATTATAATTTATTATATAAAATTAATAATTAAATTATTATAAAAAATATTAATATATAGAATTAATATATAATATAAATTAAAATTAGATATATAATAATATTTTTTATATATAAAATTATTTATTTATTAAATTATTTAAAATAATAAATTATATAATTTATATTTTTATTTTATTTT